GTATATTTGTACAAGTGCAAAGTGCATGTGTGTGAAGGGCTGCCGATATATACATGTTCTCTTTTTGTTGTGCACTTTCAGCTGGTCAAACTATATGGTATGTCAGTTGTCGATGTCAGCTTCAGTGACTCGACAAACAGAATGTTGCTAGTACACGAAAAAGACCCCATGAGAAGACTTGAATTTGAAATATTTTAGTTGTACTTGTGTAGGAAACGTCTCTTTAAAATTCGAGCTTCCAAACTTTTTTCGTTCTCAAGTTAGCAATTTTGTGGCCAAAATTTCACGTGTCTCTACGTGAGTAGTCGGTGTGCGTGATAGTTTATGTCATATTTTTGGGGTCGGACATGGCCAGGGAACACTCTAGCAAACAGCATCAAAGCTTGCGTGGTTGTTGAGTAAAAATACCCGGACAGACGAACATACATACAGAGAAAAAATTACACTCACCGACAGAGTCGTTGCAAATGCGTTTTTGCTACCTGTTGCAGCGCTAGAGTGCTACACAGCAAAAACGTATATTCGCATCAGTCAGCCTGGTGCGTTCATTCATTGTTTGCATATTTGTGTAAATGGAAAAGCGCGTATTGGCAAAAGGTTGTTTATTTGTGTGTCTGAATTTTTTTACCTACTCAGAAACTTGAGAAGCTATGGAGCTGAAACCTGTAAAGCATGTTCCCACTCCATTTGCGATCCTCTTATTATTATGCGTTTTTTGCAGCTATGCAATGCAGAAAACGCATATTGACGAGAGATTGTCTGTGTTCGTCTGTACTGATTTTTCATCTCGAGACCGGCAAAAGCTAGAGGGCTGAAACTTTGGGGACACAATCTACATGCACGTACGGGTCCCCATCCCCGAAATGGGCGGTCTTCCCCGCGTACGGCCCGCCAAATTTTTTCACGGGTGAGTTCATAACTCGAGGATCTGAGATGCTGGAAAGCTGAAATTTTGTGGAGATGTTTCCCGTCCAAGTAGGTATTAGTGAGCTCAAATCCAGCCCCCGAGTAAGTGTGGTGCCCGCGTACGGTCCCGACAAAATTCTTCTCGGGTAATTTCATAACTCGGAATCTGAGATGCTAGAAAGCTGAAATTTTAGGGTGGTGTTCCCCGTCCATGTGGATATTAGTGAGCTCAAACCCAGCCCCGGGCAAGTGTGGTACCCGCGTACGGGCCCGCCAAAATTTTTCCTGGGTAAGTTCATAACTCGGGGATTTGAGAAGCTGAGGGACTATAATCTTAAGAGGATATATCCCGTCCACCTAAGTTTCATTCAGCTCAAACCCAACTCTCGGGTATGCATGGCAAACACGCACGGGACCGTAAAAATTTTTTTCCAGTAAGTTGCTAACTCAGGAGCCAGGGAAGCTAGAAATCTGAAATTTTAAGGGGGTGTTTCCTAACAATTCTGGCGGCCAGTCTTAATTTGTTTAGCTAGAAGCATTTGCTGAAAAAGTCGGTGCCGGTGGCAACAAAAAATGCGGAGAACTATGCAAAAAACGCATCTTCGTACGGGCACCCCGTGCGTTGGCCAATTATTTTTTATTTGTGCACGCTTGTCTCAAGCACAAAAGAAAATATGTAAGTTTTTTGGCGGAGAAGCGATTTCGAATACCACGAGGTAAAAAGCTAAAATTTTACAATGTTCTTTGTTCTTGTTCGAGCTTAATATTTCAAATTTAGCTTCAACGCATCCTAGAGGACCTAGCTGACCAGCTTCCTCTAATTGTACGAGGGAGTTTGTTTTCCATAACCAGGCGCGTAGACATGAAATGGGCTTTGACGCAAGCCTGTTTCACACGTTCGGGCAGGTCAAAGGCATTCGTAACGAAAAGCAATTTCGCGCTTGTGCTTTGCAGATGAATGTAGCACTTCTCTGCCTACATTTAATTCCCATATTTCTACCGCAGTCGAATCGGACGAGTGATCTTTTTCCCTTGGATATGCCACTGGTACATGAAATGTATTAATGCACATTCAGGAGTGAATAATTTTATTGACGATGTTGGAGAAATGCTTCGTGTTCCCA